TGTCTTATCTTTTATTTCTCACTCACTCTCTCTCCCCCTCCTCCTCTCTTTTTCTCCCCCACCCCTTTCTCTCTTTCTCTCCCCCACCCCTTTCTCTCTTTCTCTCCCCTCCCCACCCCCCAAACCTCGCACTTTCTCGTGAGGGGAAACATCTTCCCAGCATCTACCCTGTCAAGTCCATCATATTTCAATAAGGTCCCCTGTCGTTATTCTAAACTCCCATGAGTATAGGACCGTCCTATTCAACCTTTTGTCATAAGGCAATGCGTTCATCCAAGGAAACAAAACTGTGAACCTTCTCTGAACTGTGTCCAATGCCTCTTTAAATAAGAAGACCAAAATTCGACATGGTATTGATCTCACCAATACTCTCACTTGCAGCAAAACTCCCCAAAGTGAAAGTCAACGATCCAGTTGCCTTCCTAATTACTTGCTGCACTCTGCAAGCTAACTTTTTGAATGTTGTGTGCAACGGCACTTAGATCTCCCAGTACATCAACATTCTGCAGTCTCACTCCATTTGAATGAGGTTTTGCTTTTCTATTCTTCCTAACAAAGTGGATGATCTCCCAGTTTTCCACATCATGTTCCGTCTGCCAAATGTGTGCCTGTATAAGTCTCTGGTCAGACTACATTTGGAATATTGTAAGCAGTTTTGGGCCCCATATCAGAGGAAGGATGTGCTGGCATTGGAGGGATTCCAGAGGATGTTTACAAGAATGATCCTGGGGGTGAAGGGCTTGACATATGAGGAGCAGTTGAGGACTCTGGGTCTGTACTGTATGGAGTTTAGAAGGATGAGGGGGATTTGATTGAAACTTACACTACGCTGAGAGGCCTGAGTAGAGTGGATGCGGAGAAAATATTTTCACTAGTCGGAGATGTAGAGTTAGATTTTAGATTTTATTGTCATGTGTACTCAAGTACAGAAGTACAGGTGAAAAGTGTATAATGTCGCCACACGTGGTGCTATCTTGGGTACCAAGGTACCTAAGTACAAAAAAAGCTTAAGGTACAAGGCAGAAAGAGAAATGAGAGTTAAAAAGTTAAGGAGATAATAAGGACTGCAGATGCTGGAAGTCAGAGTCAATAAAATGTGAAGCTGGAAGAGCACAGCAGATCAGACAGCATCAGAAGAGCAGGAACATGGACTTTCCTGCTCCTCTGATGCTGTTAAAAAGTTAAGCATTAGTTTACATTAAAGTCTTTTGTAGTTTAAAGTAGGAAAATAAAGGAATAAGTTAAAAGTTCAACAGTCTTTGGTGAGACCTCAGCTTACCTCGCTCTGCTGCCTGTTCTCGATGCTGCTACTGCAGATACCATCACTGCTGCTGAAGCTGCCACCTGTCCAATTTCCCCCGGAACATGTCTGGGCTGGATCCACTCACACAGTGAGCCAGGACACCGCCGTGAGATACCAGCTAACATACCGCCGAGAGACCAGGCTGAGAGCTACCACAAGCTGCCGAGAGACCAGGCCAGGACCCAGCACAAGCCGCTGGGAGACCAGGCTCAGACCCGCTGAGAGACCAAAGTGGGGAGAAAAGAGAAATCAAGAGAAGTAAACAGAAGGAGTGGAGGATTTCTGGTTTGAGCGTCCTAATCTGCTGCCATCTTGACCGGAAGTTTGAGTTTGCAGCCTCAGAGTGAAAGGATGACCCTTTAGAATTGAGATGGGGAGGAATTTCTTCAACCAGAGGGTGGCGAATCTGTGGAACTAAGTGCTGCATAGGGTTGCGGAAGCCAAGTCATTGAATGTCTTTAAGACAGAGATGGATCGGTTCTCGATCGGTAAGGGAATCAAAAGTTATGGGGAGAAGGCAGGAGAATGGGATTGAGGAACATATCAGCCATGGTTGAATGGTGGAGTAGACTTGATGTGCTGAATGACCTAATTCTGCTCCTACATCTTCTGGTCAATTACCTATTTGTATCCCACTGGGGATGTTTTATGCCTTAAATCACCTGCACCGGGGAGGCACTGAGCAAAGACCAGGCGCTTTTCCCACTGGACTGTCATTAGTACTTGCACCCCTCCATCTCCTGACACCAATTTACAGATTCCCAGTACTGTTTCCCTGCTCCAACACACTGGGAGAACTGAGTGAGGCGAAAGCTGCATTAATCCCATTCACTTTGTTCAAACCATTGGATCATGGATGGTAAGTTATGTGAGAGGCAGTTCTCAGGTATCACCTGTTCCTGTCATACTGGTTAGTAATGTAATCAGGCAGGATTTCATTACTGTCAGATACACAAGATAAATTGGTAACTCCCTGTAATGTTGGTACTGAGTCAGTCATGATCTGTTTTAAGCACATGGAATTATGCACATCTAAAGTCTCCCAGAGACACGTGAGACAAGTCATTTCTTTCACTGCTGTCTTGGAGAATAACTGTGTCTCACTTTCACCACTGATGGCTCTTCCCAGTTGCTCTGCCATGGAGAGGTGGTTCAGTGGGTAGCATTCTTGCCTCACAGTGACAAGGTTGTGGGTTCAAGTCTCACTCCAAAGATCTCAGGCTATCCTCTTTGGTTACAACAATAATGCTTTTCTTAATCAAAAATGCTGCTTCCCCTCCTCTTTGGCTTCTTTTTCTATCCTTCCTATAACATCTGAAACCCAGAACATTGAGCTGCCAGTCCTGGCCATCCCTCTGCCAAGTTTCTGTAATAGCTATGATGTCTCAATCTCATGACCCCGTATATGCCCTGACTTCATCAGCCTTACCTGTGAGACCTTTTTGCATTAAAATAAATGCAATTTAATTCTTAGTGTTTCTTTGTTCTCTGACTTGCCCTTGTCTATCTTTTCTGAATAACTTGTTCTTGTCAGATTCAAAACTATTCTCATCTATGTATAACTCTGCTACTTTAGGATCACACACACAGACACACCCGAATAGCTTACAATGGAATTAGCAAATCTTTCCGCTGGGATATTGATCCCTTTCCAGTACAGGTGAAAACCCATCCTTTTTGAACAGGGATACCAAGGTGTAGAGCTGGATGAACACAGCAGGCCAAGCAGCATCAGAGGAGCAGGAAAGCTGATGTTTTGGGCCTAGACCCTTCTTTTCTGCTACAATGATCCAAGAACCTGAATCCTGAACATTACACCACCATTGATTCATCTTTTTTATCCTTTTATTCTTTCCCTCATTTGAGCTTGGCACCAGGAGTAAACCAGAGATTGCTACTTTTGAGGTTCTGTTTTTTTTAATCTTCTACCTAACCTATTATATTCACTCTGTAAAGCCCTAATGTTTTCCCTAATGATGTAATTCCTAGCAATGTGTACAATAACCTTCATTTCTAACACCCCCTTTAACAATATGCTACAAACATTTTGAGACATCCTTAATCCTGGCAACATACTATCCTAGATTCACACTCAATACCTTGAGATTGTGCCTTATATGTGCTGTTCAGAAATGCTTCCTTACGGCTAGCTGGTGTCTTGTATAGGTTTGGCATAACTCCTCTGTTTTGTGATACCACATCAGGAAAGGATCCTGTATGCCTTTTCAGCAACCCCCTTTTCAAAGGCCACCTTCAAGGGTTTGTCTATGTACAATCATGCCTTGGTTCCTGCACGACTGTTACTCTTTATCTACTGATGTCACTGTATCCAACTTATGACCAATGAAAGCATAGTTTTCTTGTGAGCCCATCCTGGAAGGTGTTTGGTATGCTTGCCTTTATTGGTCAGTGCATTGAGTACAGGAGTTGGGATGTCATGTTGTGGCTGTATAGGACATTTGGTTGGGCGACTTTTGGAATACTGTGTTCAATTCTAGTCTCCCTGCTATAGGAAAGATGTTGTTAAACTTGAAAGGGTGCAGAGAAAATATTTACAAGGATGTTGCTTGGGTTAGAGGGTTTCAGCTATAGGGAGAGGCTGAGGCCATTTTCGCTGGAGCTTTGGAGGCTGAGACGTGACCTTATAGAGATTTATAAAATTATTAGGGCCATCGATAAGGTGAATATCCAACGTCATTTTCCCTATAGTAGGAGAGTCCAAAACTAGAGGATGTAGGTTTAAAGCGAGAGGGGAAAGATTTAAAAGGGACCTAAGGGACAATGTTTTTATGCAGAGGATGGTGTGTGTATGGAATGAGCTGCCAGAGGAAGTGGTGGAGGCTGGTGTAATTACAACATTTAAAAGGCATCTGGATGGGTACATGAATAGGAAGGGTTTAGAGGGATGTGGGCCAAATGGGACCAGATTAATTTAGGATATCTAGTTGGCACGGATGAGTTGAAAGGTCTGTTTCTGTGCTGTACAGCTGTATGATGTGTAGGTGGCGGTGTTGGACTGGGCTGGACAAAGTCAAAAATCACCCAACATCATGTTATGGTCCAGCAGGTTTACTTAAAGAGGCTGCGCTTCGAAAGCTTGTGATTTCATCAGGTGTACCTCTGTGTATTGGTAGTTGCAGCCAGTGAACACTGGATTTCCGGTCAACCAGTCAACATCACCTAACCTCTACCACTGAGAATACTGCACAATGCTCCTTTCAGCCAGAGATAGCAAGAACTGCAGATGGTGGAGTCAGAGATAACACAGTGTGGAGCTGGAGGAACACAGCAGGCCAGGCAGCATCATTGGCGTGCCTAGTCTCAGCAAATGAGGAGGTAATACTAGGACAACAAGGTGCAGGGCTGGATGAACACAGCAGGCCAAGCAGAAAGGCGATAGCGAGGACTGCAGTTGCTGGAAGTCAGAGTAAATAAAATATGCAGCTGGAGGAACACAGCAGGTCAAAGAGCATCAGAGGAGGTTCGGGTCGGGACCCTTTATCAGGATGTCATATCCCCTCCCTCCCCATCAGGTCATTCATCCTTGCCTACTCGCAGCAAATGACAACGCGACCTTCCTCCTAGCCAATCAAATTTGATGGATCGAACAATGGACACCCGCTTGCGCATGCGAGCCAATCATTGAGCCGCGCTGCCGTTGCCGCGGTAACCAGGGTGGGTGGGGCTTGCCTGGGGGGTGTCGGTGGCGGGAGATTGAGGGGAGAAGCGGCGTGAGCGAGTGTCTGAGGTAAAGGTGCTGGAGCCTGAGGCCTAGCCCGTAGGCTCACCGCAGCCTTCATTTAAACTCTGAGCAGCCGATTTAGGAATGGGGAGGCCGGCGTGAAATCGAACCCCCTTCGTGAATGTTCTTCCCTGTATCTTCCCCCGCAAAGGGAAAGCTTTCCCATCGCACACGGGCACGGACCAGTAGCGGTGATCCGTTAGTTTATCCCGGGTTCTGGGCCTTGCAATCCGAGGCTGTGATGCTGCAGAGCAGCCCCCGAAAACCCCCACCGCCCGAGCAGTAACTCCCCCAGGGTGATCTCACTGCGCTTCTCCCCCGGCAATCAGCTGCACCCATCAGCCCCTTCCTGGGGTAATCTTTTGCCTGAACACACACCCACCCATTTCCCCCCGCCCCACCCCCGCTCCCTGCTGGCCCTGTCTGTTGCCTCTGCCCCGCCGCCGCCGCCGCCAACAAGGTGTGTGCCCCTCCTCCCTGTCTATATCTCTCTCTCTCTCGTTCCCCCCCCGTCCCACTTCCTAGAGTCTTTCCACTCAATCTGTTCAGGGATGTGATGATTTCTCTGGAGGAGGTGGACCGTAGAACTTAAACCCGGACCTTCTATCCCAAAGGTCACGACGCTACCATCGCAGCACGAGGGCTTCTGAATTCCCCTTTCTGTTCTTACCAATCACAGTTGTATGATAATTCTCAGTCTTTGTTTTCAAATCCTCCCATTTCCTCATCTATACATGAGCTATATGTCATGGTAGTTTTAATTGGGGAAGGAATACAAACTGGGATTCAAGGGAAACAAGAGACAACAAGGTGCAGGGCTGGATGAACACAGCAGGCCAAGCAGCATCATAGGAGCAGACAGGCTGACGTTTCGGGCCTAGACCCTTCATCAGAAAAGCAAGGGAAACAACTTGCTTCTGTATAATGCCATGGATTCTTTAAGGATCAAAAGAAATAAACCTGTATAGCATTGTAGTAAAGTAAGGATGTCTCAAAGTGCGTTGAAGTGCAGTACTTGTGAAATGAAATTGCCATTGTAACTATGACATCTATTTGTGGACAGCTAAGACCCTATAAACAGCAAGAAATCACTAGCTCATCTGTTTTGGGTGTAAGTTGAAGCATGAGGGTTGACCAGGACACTGGGATTTCTATACTTTGATTAACACTGTGGTATGTCTCTTAGATGATTGCTTTGAATATAGGCTGGAGAGGCTGGGCTTGCTTCCACTGGAGTTTAGAAGAATGAGGGGTAGCTTGATTGATGTGTATCAGATCCTGAATGACCGTGACATGGTGGATGTGCAAATAATGTTTCCTTTTGTTTGTCAGATCAGAACTGGGGGCACTTTTAAAATTATAGGGTCCCTCTTTCAGGGCAGATGGGAAGAAGTTTTTTTTCTCAGATATGCAACTTGAGAAATCGCTATCTCATTAGTACTTTTTAAGACAGAGGGATAGATTCTTGTTAGGCAAGGGAATCAAGGTCATCAGAGGTAGATGACAATCTAGAATTCAAAACAAAACAGATTAATCTTATTGAATAGTGGAGCAGGTTCAAAGGACAGAATGGTCTACTTCTGCACCTATTTTGCATGTTATTATGGTGCCTCTGCTTAATATCTAAAAGATGGCACTTCTGACAATGCAGCAGTCCCTCTGTACTGCAGTGGAAGTATTGTCTGAAGGAAACTTGAGACTGCAACATTATGACTTGGGCAAGAGCACTACCAACTAGGCCACAGTGGATGTTGATTGATAGTTGATCAGAGCAAAATGGAACAGAAAGCAAGAACCATGCCCTCTTATGGCCTGTGGTTATTCTGCAACAATGTGTGAATGTAAATTTGAGACATGAAGTCTCTACGACAATGCTAATAGAACATATTGTTTTCATAATATAGTTGGTTTGTCTACTGTCATACAGCATGGAAACAGTCCCTTCAGTCCAAATAGTCCACACCGACCATGTTCCCAAACCAAACTGGTTCCACTTGCCTGCATTTGGCCCATATCCCTCCAAAGCTTTCCTATTCATGTATTTATCCAAATGTCTTTTAAATGTCGTAACTAACTGCGTCCACCACTTCCTCTGAAAGTTCCACATACAAACCACTCGCTGTGTAAAATAGTTGCCTCTTGTGTCCTTTTTAAATCTTTCTCCTTTCATCTTAAAAATATGCCCCTGAGTTTTGAACTCACCCAACCTAGGGGATAGACCCAAAACTCTATAAAAAGTCACCCCTCAACCTCCTATGCTGCAATGAAAAATGACCTAGCCTATCATTATAACTGAAACCTTCTATTCCTGGCAACACCCTGGTAAATCTTTTCTGAACCCTGTCCAATTTAATATCCTTCCTATTGAAGGGTGGCCAGAACTGTACATAGTACTCCAGAACAGGCCTCACCAATGTCCTGTACAACCTCAACATTACTTCCGATACTTGAAGATCTGAGCAATGAATGCAAGCGTGCTAAATGCCTTTTTAACCACCCTGTGTACCTGTGATGCAAATTTCAAAGAATTATGTACCTAAATCCCAGGTCTGTCTGTTCTACAACATTACCCAGGGCCCTACCATTAATTGTTTAAGTCCTGCCCTTGTTTGTTTTACCAAAATGCAATACCTCACATTTATCCAAATAAAACTCCCATCTGTCACTCGGTCCATTGACTCAATTGATTAATATCTATTTGTAATCTTAGATCACCTTCACAGTCCATTATACCACCAATTTTGGTGTCATCCACAAACCTACTAACCATGTCTCCCAAATTCTCATCTAAATCATTTATATAAATGACAAACAAAAGTGAACCCAGTACCAATCCCTGTGAAACATCGTTGGTCACTGGCCTTCAGTCCGAAAAACAACCTTCGGCCATGACTCTGTCTCCTACCGTCAAGCCAATTTTGTATCCAATTGGCAAGCTCTCCTTGAAACCCATATTATATCATCAATGGAGTCCTTTATCCGATAGCAAGTCAGCTGAGATGACTTGGAAGCAAAGCTTTAATTATTTGGGGAAGCCCAATTTCAGTCTTCGGATTCATGTGCAACTAGAGTTGTCAGTTTAGGAAATATTTCCTTAGCCATATTTTTATACCGATTTTTATAGCCATGATAATCAGTCTCTGCTCCTCCATATAATCATTTCCTTCAGAAATCACCATTAGAATAATCCCAGTATACCCTTCATCAGAAAAGGGTCTAGGCCCGAAATGTCAGCCTTTCTGCTCCTATGATGCTGCTTGGCTTGCTGTGTTCATCCAGCCCTGCACCTTGTTGTCTCGGATTCTCCAGCATCTGCAGTTCCTACTATCTCTGATTCAATACTGGACAGCCAGTTGTTCGTGTCTGAAAAGATACAGGCAATTATCGTATTTGCTCTTCTGTGAAAATAACGAAGATGTTTTAAGGGTCCCAATATAATGTAATATTCATTGGTTAGTGTGTAATTCTGATTTGTTGTGGCATTGCCCTGGAGAGAGCAACGGGAGTTATACAGACCCCAAACTCTTAGGTTTGAACTGTTGCCTTTTTTTTTGCAAAGGATGGTTCCAATCCATAGATATGTTGCTTCTAACCTTAACTTGATTCTTAGTGTGGCTATTGGCACACTGGATTATTCAGCAAGTTGCTCTATCCTGGAAGCGCATTGAACAACAGATGTTTTTATTCCTGTATGGGATGTGTGTGTTGCTGATGAGGCATCCATAATTGTCTTTGTAATTAGTGGCATGCTGGGCCATTTCAGAGTGAACCATGTTGCTGTGGATGTAGGTGAAACCAACCAATGACCTCAAAAATATTAATGACCGGATGAGTTTTTACAGAATTGATGGCTATTTCATAGTCACCATTACTGAGTCTAGCCTTAAATCCAGATTTATTAACTGAATTTAAATTTCACCAGTTGGTATGGTGGAATTTGAGCTCATATCCAAACAGAATTTTAAAAAATCCAAAGCTCCACAGTTCTGAAGAAGGGTCACTGGACTCCAAACATTAACTCTGCTTTCCCTCCACAGATGCTGTCAGACCTGCTGAGTTTTCTCAGCAATTTCTGTTTTTATTTCCAGAAATGGTCTGGGCCTTCGTATTTCATGTCTCTCTCTCTACACTCCCCTTCCTGCAGTATATGGCATTGGACTGATGGCAGCATTCTGCAGAACTGTGAATGCTAGAAATCTGAAATAAAAGTTGAAATATGCTGGTAGGCAGCATCTGTGGAGAGAACAGCTAAAATTTTGGAACAGTGACTCTTTCAACAGAACTGAAAAATAATACAAATGTAAGAGTTTAAGTCAGTGAAAGAAGCTGATCAGGAAAGTCGTAGTTCTGTAGGATAGCTGAGATGTACTGCATTCCTGTGTCAAGATTGCAAGGTAACCAAATGGCTCAGGCTCTACTTACGTGATTGCTGATAAGGGCAAATTTGTCACATTTAGAAATATAACCAATCAGCACCCTTTTCTCCAGTTATATAAATTGTTATGATTGTTTGAAGTTACCATTCTTGTTAGCATGTTTGTCCTGAGGACTGCAATTTGAAGAGCTTCAGCAACATGTCTCTTTTCAGCGATTTGACAATTTAGTGCCCCTTTTGTTACTTAAAGTCTTTGTGCTTATAGTGGTTGGAACATCAAGGTAAAGCATGTTACATTACAACAGCAACTACACTTCATTGAGCATTATTTGCTGTAAGGCATTTTGGTCATGAATGCCAATATATAAATGCAATGTCTTTTTAATACACCCAATGGCTATATAGCTTCCAATTAGATGACCAGTAATGTAATTTAGTTTTAACAGATGGCAATGCAATCTGCAAGAAATAAGGCACCTGGTGGCACTGGCGATGGAAATCGGCCACAGGCGAAGAGGCTCCGTGGAGATTGGGATGATGATGGCCCATCACAGTTTGAAGAGGAGCTGGCATATCTTGATGAAGTGGAGGCGGAAATGGCAATGGATGCCAAGGAACAACAAGCATCACATGATGTGGTTCCAATTGGTAGGTGGCAAATTGCTTTTGATGTGAATGATTGGGGTCTGATATGTTGGAACAGGCCTGCAGAGCAGCTGGGACTGGAACCTGGACATTCTGGCCCAGAGGTTAGAGAAACTATAACTGCACCACCAGTGCCTGACTGGGAGTGAGAAATGGATTGCTATGATTAATCAATAACTATTACTGTATCATGTGATAACCAGAGTGGTAGAAGTTGAGCTAGATGGACCTTTTTTCACATTCAACCACTCCTACAAATGTGGAATGTTGATTTGTCTTAAAATATTTTTCTTCTCATTTTCTACCCCTCTTGAAAACACCAACACTTTTCTACATGCAGTTTCCTGAGCATTGACAGATCTTCCCCCATCCAGTGACTTCTAGATGTATAAGCTTCAAAACTGAAGGATCCAAGGTCATTTGATTGTGGGGTGTAAGTAGGTGATGTCCTGTAAGCTGCATAAATTTTCTCACAGGTGCTACAGAATCGCGTTCATCAATAGAAATACTGTCTGAGCTAACCACTGGGTCTAATTGTAGAAGTCTTACTTCTCCCTTTGTTGAAATCAGGTACCACATCGCAGAGTCGATGTTGGGATAGGGACGTTTACGTGATTTGGAGTCTTAGGTTTTTAACAGAGACCACTGCAGATGACTTGTTGATTCACTGGTCAACAGATCCCAAGCCCCTTATATTTGAACTGTAGTTTGTTTTTTATTGTTTCAAGAGATGTTAAAATTGCTGACAAGCCAGCACTTTTTGTCCATCCCTATTTGCCCTAAAGTTGTAGCCATTTCAGGGAACAGTTGAGTTAATTGCATGACTGTGGGTGTGGAGTCATACCAAGTTAAGGAAGGCAGATAATAGTTAACCAAACGGGTTTTTATGACACTCAATAATAGTTTCATGGTCACTGAGACTAGCTTTATATTCAACGCTTTATTAATTGATTTTAAATTTGTGATGGAATTGAATCTATGTACCTACGCTAGACCTCTAGTTGACTAGTCCAGTACTTCTCCATTTCGCCTAACTTGCTGACCACTACCTAACTTAGTTAACCCAGTAGAGCATATGTGCTGATCCCCTGATGAGCTGGTGACAGAGCAGCTGGACATAGAGTCCAAAGAGTCAAGCAAATTATTGTATCTTGGATGTTGTTGAATCTCTTTCTCTGATTAATGTTGTAGCTGAATATATTTGGACGAGTGGTGAATTTTCCATCACAATCTGTACTTGTGACTTGTTGATGGTGCAGACCCTTTGAGTAGTCAGGAACTGTCCTGTCCTTGTCACAGTGTGAAGTGCTAGTTTGGTTAAGGTTTTGGTTATTGAGGATCTCCTGAATGTTGATGGTGGAGGACTCTGATAGTGGTGCTAGTATAGTTTAAGGTCAATTTCCTGTTCATGATAGTGATAATGTGGTGTGGATTTTATCAGCCCAAGCCTGGATATTGTCAGAGAACTGTAGTAGTAGTAGACTGGCGTGAGTTTCTTTGTTATCAGAGGAATTGTGAATGAATTAAACACCCAAATCATTGGCAAATTTCCCCGAGTCTAGAGCTTATGATTGGCAAAGTTTAAACTGCATGACTTGTTGGAAGTGTGCTACACTACCCTTGACTAGTGGATTCTTGTGTTCAACTTAAATGAAATTCTCCTGTATCCAAATCTTCTGATTCTAGATAAAAGCCTGAACCATCCACTTTTAGCTCAAAAATGTGACTGCTAATGTGACTTCCCATCTCTATTCTATTGTTGTATGTAGTTTGCAACCAGAAGAAAGGGTTTTTGACAGAAAATCCTGTCCAGCATTCTAGATCAGAGAGTTCCCAAAATAGTGGTTGTGAAGTTTACGATTTAACAAGCTCAGCTAACAAATGACTTAATTTTTTTTGATGTTTGTGAAACAACTTTAGTCTCTAGGCATTAGCATTTTAAGCACCTTTAACCTCAGTTTATATATTGCAGTCATGTAAATTTGCTCTGCATAAAGAAGCCACCCCCTGTTTCCTCTGACAAAAAGTAGTTCTTTTCCAAATTACTTATTTCAAAGTAAATCTAAAAATATAATACTAAAATAATTTTTCACTCCAGTTTTTCCAATGACTCATTTTATTGTGGTCTTTGTCATAATTAGAATCGATCTCCAGCACCCAGAAGATAAAAGCACCTTCAATCTCTTTCAGGCATGTTGACCTCTTGACTGGTTGAGAGGAAGGTGCTTGAACACATAACTTCCAGTGGCGCTTGAATTCAGATCTTTGGGACAGACTGCAGAATTCAGCTGGTTCATTCTTTGCCTCAGAAGTAACAATAAATTGGTCAGGTTTTCCAGTTTTCCTGCGACTGAATGTTGTTGAAGGCAAACACTGAGTGGTATGATGAGAGAATTCAGCGTTAATTATGTTCGCCTTTGCGATCTGCTAGTTCATTGTTATTCGGTATAAACGTTCATATCTGAAAAATAATTACCTGGGCAAAATGTCAAAGACAGCTTTGACCCTGAGTGAGTAGTGGTACCTTCAGAAGAAGAGGGAAGAAAATTGAAAGAATGAAATCCGTTCAAGGTCACAGATTGTGACAGAAGAACTTGAGCTGGTCGCCAGTGCGCTCCAATAAAATTTGTACATCACGAGGGGGAAGAAAATGGATAATTTCTTTGAAACTGTGTCCTGTACCTTGGCTATTTCACTTCTCTGGTGGCTGAGTACAAATACAAATGGTTTAATTGTGGATCATGTATCATGCTAAAAGGTGTCTCCTTTTTTTTTCCCCCCTTTTTCAGGAAACTTGTTTTCTTCCAAGGTTATAAACAACAAATGGCAGCGCCCGCCAGCACCCAAAATTGACCCGCAAGTAGATAATATCGCCTTCCAGCAGGTGGAGCTGGAGTACTATGTGGGTAAGTGGTGGGACTAAGAATTGGTGAGGATTGAGATTGTGCTTTCAGCAGGCCACCACCACCACTAATGGACTTTGTGACAGAGTATCAAAGTTTTATCCAAAAGCTTTTGAGGCCAAGTGATTAAGTGAACATTCTAAAACTGAGATGGATGGATTATTGTTAAACAAGTTTATTAAGTGTTACAGAAGCTGGTTTTTGGGGAAAGTTCAAGGGGGTGATGGAGCGGAGATGCAGATCAAATGCAATTTAAATGAGTGATGGAACAAGTACATTGGGCTGAGTGGCCTCCAGTTTAATCGTAGATGGTTATGTAAAATTATGTAGAATCCTTACAGAGTGGAAACCGACTCTTTGGCCCAACAAGTCCACACCAACCCTTGGAGCATCCCACCCAGACCCATCCTTCTATAACCCACCTAATCTACATGTTCCTGAACACTATGGGCAATTTAGCATGGCCAGTCGACCTCGCCTGCACATCTTTGGACTGTGGGAGGAAACCGGAGCACCCTGAGGAAACCCATGCATACATGGGGAGACTGTGCAAACCCCACGTAGACAGTTGCCTGAGGGTGGAATTGAACCCGGGTCTCTGGCGCTGTAAGGCAGCAGTGCTAACCACTGAGCCCCCCACTGAGCCACCGTGCCGCCCTTCGTAAAAAGTTGAGGAGAAAAGGTCATTTGGTCTATCAAGCTTATCCCTCTCGTATTTCAACTTGACTGACTAAGCATCCAAGTTCAACCTGCTCTCCTATCACCCCTTTAATCCTAGCATGTTTGTGATGATCTACCAGATGTCTAAAGAACATTTTCTTCTGAGTGTAGTTGTACTCTGTTTTATTAATGTAGCAGACCAACATCCTGGGGTTGTCATCTCTGTGCAATTTAATATTATAATTTAGGAAATCATCTGTTCAGGTTGTTTGTGACTGCTCTCTATGTGCAAATTGGCTGCTGTGCTTTTTTTCATTACAGCATTTCGAAAATGTGTAATTTTTATGCATAGACGACCTATTACTGAATGATTTTGCATGCCGTTCTTTGAGTCTGTTAGCATTTTTGTATGCATTCCTTCTGAATATGACTCTTATCCTCCTGTAGGTTTTGCTGCCTTTTTCTTTATCTCCAGAATCACAGAATTGTCACAGTTCCCGAGGAGGCGTGTGGGCTATCATTTTTGTACTGGTTCTCAAGCATGTTCATTTATTGCCAAACTACTGCCTTTTTCCTGTAACCCTGCACATTGGATGATGATTTCAGTAGAAACAATGTTCTCTTGAAGGCCTCAATTGAAACTACCTTCACCATGTACCTCGTGTCAATTTTAAAAAAAAATTCATCTGTTGGATGTGGGTGTTGCTGGCTGGCCAGCATTTATTGCCCACCTTCACTTGCCATTGACAAGGTTGTGGTGTGCTGCCTTCTTGAACCACTGCAGTCAACCTGCTGTGGGTTGACCCACAATGCCGTTAGGGAGGAAATTCCAGGATTTTGACCCAGTGACAGTGAAGGAACGGTGCTGTATTTCCAAATTTCTTTATTACCTCTTCAAATATCCGCAGCAAGCTAATTAGATATCACTTTCTATTACACCTGTGCTGACTGTTCGAAGTTATGCCACGTTTTTCATCAGAGTGCTAGTTTTTCCTGAATAATTGTTTCTTGCCATTTCACCGCCTTCGAAGTTAAACTGATTGGTCTGTAATTGCTGGGCCTATCCTTGTAACTTTTTTGAACAAAGGTGTAATGTTTTGTAATTCTGTAGTCCTTCAGCACCACCTTCTGATCTAGGGAAGATTGAAAGATTATTGACAGTGTATCTGCAATTTCCACATTCACTTTCTTCAATAGTCTTGGATCCATCTTGTCGGGTCCCAGTGCCTTACCAACTTTTAAGTACCAACAGCTTATCCGTGCCTGCAATTTATCAATTTTAAACTTTTCTAATGATGAGTTTCCTCTTCTATCACCTGGGCAGTGTCTGTCTCATTGGTAAAGACAAATGCAATGCACTCATTTAACATCTTAGATATGGCGCTTACCTCCATTTGTCAATCAGCTTTTTGGTCCCTGAAGAGCCTAACTCCTCATTTTTCCACCGTTTTACTATTGATTTGTTTATCGGTAACTTGGGATTTCCCTGTAGCTGTTAGTTGCCAGTCATTTTTCACAATCCCTCTTCTCTTATTTGCATTTTCACCTTCCTTCTGAACCTTCTGTATTCTGCTTTGTTCTTAATTGTGGTTACTAACCAGCACCTGTCACCAGCACACGTTTTCTTCTTCAACTTTATTTCTGTCTGCTTTGTCATCTAGCCAGCTCAGGATTTGTTTGTCCCAACTTTCCCTTTTGAGGGAATATACTTTTAACTGTCTCTTTCATGGTAGTTCATTGTTCAGCTACGGTTTTTCCCACCAAACTTTGGTTCCAGCCTATCTGTCCCTTCTCTGTCCTTGCTCCAAGTTGGTTCTCACCCTGTTGTGTTGCCTTCAACACTCTATGACACAGACCATCTGGCTAAGGAATTTGTAAGTCTTCCTTCCTTTAAACACAAGAGCCACCTACTCATTGGTCTCAAAACATATGCATGTTTGATGATGATGAGACAGTAAACCACCATTTTCCTTCCTGGGAGAGTGGATATTAAGTTAACCATTTCTCTTTCAGTAGCTTTGATTTTACCACCAATAATATCTTTCATTATAAATTGGCTTCCTTTGTCAGCTGCTTTTTGCTATAAAATTGGAGAATAATGCAGCACAAAAATAGGTCTTTCAGCTCTTCAAGCCTGTGCTGAATATTGCAGAAGGAAAATGTTTGTTTTCTTGAGGATCTAAGGCCAGGTTCTTCTGGGTACTTTTCTTGGGGCCTGTCAGCATTTTGGAGTCGTAAGCACAGAAACAGACCCTTTGGTCCAACCTGTGTATGTCAATGATTATCCCAAACTAAACCTGCCTGTGCATAGCCCATAACCCTACAAGCATTTCTTATTCATGTACTTACCTAAATGTCTTTTAAATGATGTAACTGTACCTGCATCCGTCACTTTCTCTGGAAGTTCATTCCACATACGAACCACTCTGTGTGTGGGAAAAAAAATTACCCCTCGTCTTTTTTTTTAAATCTTTCCCCATTTACCTTAAAGATATGTCTCCTAGTCTTGAAATTCCCCACCCTAGGGAAAAAACACCTGTCATTCACGTTATCTATACTCCTCATGATTTTATAAGCCTCTATAAGGTCACCCCTTAACCTCCCGTGCTCCAGTGACAAAAGTCCCAGAGTGTCCAGCCTCTCCTTATAACTGAAACTCTCCATTCCCAGCCACATTCTTATAAATCTTTTCCGAACTCTGTCTAGTTTACTGATATCCTTTCTATAACAGCATGACCAGAGCCGCACACAATACTCCAGAAGATGCCTCACCAACCGTCTTGTATGACCTGAACATGACGCCTCAACTCCTATCCTCATGCTCTGTGTGACTCTCCTCATCCCTTGTGGGTTTTAACCACTCTGCTTTTCTTCCTTACATTTTGCATGAGAATTTAAAAAAACTTGAATTCTGATAGTGCCTTTTGTGACCATTGTGTAGCTGATGAAATCTTTTTGGAGTGTACTCACTGTATAATGCTGGAAACTTAGCTGCCAATTTGTTAGCAACAAGCTTCCCAAAGCAGTAAATAAGCTGAATTTAGGGGGAGAATGTAGTGCATGGTAATTTGTCAGACTAGTAATCTAGTGGTCCAGGCTAATGCCCTAAGAGCCTGCGTTCAAATCCCACCGTGATAGCAAGAACTGCAGATGCTGGAGTCAGAGATAACACAGTATGGAGGAACATGGCAGGCCAAGCAGCATCAGAGGAACAGGAAAGCTGACGTTTCAGGTCGGGACCCTTCTTCACAAATGGGGAGGGTGAGGGGAGCTCAGAAATAGAGAGGAGGGGTGGGGCTGGGGAAGGTGGGTGGGATGGTGATAGGTGAATGCATGTAGGCAGTGGTTGGGATTGGTCGGTGAGGGAGGAGTAGCGGGTAGGTGGGAGAGGAGATGGACAGGTTGTGTTATGTCAAAGAAGCAGGGACGAGAGGGAGGGTTGGTCATGGGATGAGGCCGGAAGTGGGAAGATTTTGAAACTGGTAAAATATACGTTTAGGCCATCAGGCTGCAGGCTCCCGTTTTTGTTGGGGGGAGGCGATGTGAGGGCACAGGTGTAGGAGACGCAAGAGATGTGTTTGAGGGCATTTTGAATCATCGCCTCCCCCCAACAAAAACAAAAATAAAGACAGAATCCCCCTTGTCTTCACATATTACCCCACCAACTTCTGATTCCAATGTATCATTCTTCGTCACCTACAATCTGACCCCACAACCAAAGATATATTTCCCTCCCCACCCCTATCTGCCTTTTGTAGGGACTGCTCTGTCCATGACTCTCTCGTCCACTCCCCAGCTACCCCACTAACCCCACCACCCCCGGCACCTTTCCCTGCAACTGCGGGAAGTGCTACACCTGCCCCTACACCTCCCACCTCTCCTCCATTGAAGGCAAAAAACAAACCTTTGACGTCAGACATGGGTTCACCTCCACATCTGTCAACTTGGTCTCCTGCATCTGCTGCACCCGATGTGGACTCCTCTACATCGGTGAGACCAAGTGGAGACTTGTAGACCGTTTCGTACAGCATCTACGCTCTGTATGCGACAAACAACAATACCTTTTGGTCGTGAACCATTTTAACTCCCCCTCCCACTCCCTGGGTGACATGTCCATCCTGGGCTTCCTCCAGTGTCACAAAGATGCCACCCGGAAACTGGAGGAGCAGCACCTCGTATTCTGCCTCGGGAGCTTACAGCCCGATGGCCTAAACATGGATTTTACCACTTTCAAAATCTTCCTACCCCCGGCCTCATCCAGTGACCAACCCCCCCACCCCCGTCCCTGTCTCCTTGACCTGATAACCTGTCCATCTCGTCTCCCACCTATCTGCAACTCCCCCCTCACCGACCAATCCCGACCATTGCCTACACTCATTCACCTATCACCATCCCACCTACCTTCCCCGGCCTGTCCCCTCCTCTCACTCTTTATTTCTGAGCTCCCCTCCCCCTCCCCATTTCTGAAGAAGGGTCCCGACCTGAAACGTTAGCTTTCCTGTTCCTCTGATGCTGCCTGGCCCTCTGTGTTCCTCCAGCTCCATACTTTGTTATCTCAGTCTCACCATGGCGGTTTGTGGAGTTTAAATTCAATTTCAGTAAAAAAATTGCTGGTACCACTGTTGGTGACCATGAAAGTATCATCAATTGTTCTAAAAATGCATCTGTTTGTTCTTGTCCTTTAATGTATCATCCTTACCCGGTCTGTCCCACAAATGACTCCAGACCTGCAGCAATGTTGTTAACTCTCAACTGCTCTGTGAAATGTCCCAGCAAGCCACTCAAGGCAAAGGCTATTAGGGAAGGACAACAAATGCTGGCTTTGCCAGTGACACCGACATCCCAAGAAAGAATAAAGAAACAAATATCTGTTAATAATTGTAGTTTCATGTGTTTTGAAGGATCTCACGTTGCTGGAATGCCTGGGAGTAAACAGGGGCCAGTTCCTGTTACTCGTATGTTTGGAATTACGATGGAAGGGAACAGTGTCTGCTGCCACGTGCATGGATTCATGCCCTATTTCTATGTTAAGGCACCACCTGGTGAGATTTTGCAAACTCTTAAAATACTGGGGATGATTTATCTTTTTTCAGGATGGGTGATAGCGCTGCACTTGTTCATTTTACTTAACACTTCTTTCCACATCAAGTACTGCCCAGTCAGATATAACATGAGAGCTGCTGTATAATGTTCACTCTAATGATCCTTATAATACATTTTTAACCCCGAGCTCAGAATGCTACCAGTATAAATTTACTGAATTTCCCAAATAAGTAATCTTTTTGTTTCGCTTAGTGAGGTTGCCTGTTTTCTTTCTCTGTTACAGATTTTGTTTTATTCACCTTCTAATGAGAACATAAATAGGGCCAAAAGTTGGCTTTTCAATCCTTTGAGGTTGAGTTCTCGTTTAAAGACCAGATTTCATCATCCAGATACCCTTTGATTCGTTTAATGCTTTTAAAAATCTGATCTCTGTCTTGAATGTACTCAGCGGCCGAGAATCCATCGATCTGTATTGGTAGAAAATTACAGAGGTTCATGACCTTCGAGTGAAGAAATTTCTCTTCATCTCAATCTAATTAGCTGACCTCTTATTCTGAGATTATGACCCCGATTCTAGACTCTCCATCTAGAAAAATATCCTCTTAACATCTACCTTGTTGAGCCTCTTAAGAATTTTATGTTTCAATAAGCCTCTCACTGTCCTAAATTCTAGGAGACATAGGCCTAACGTAATCTTGGGCTGGTGAAAATGTGACACTGCGACAATCCCTCAAGCCTTTCTCGTTTCTATTCTAGGTTAATTTAATAGAATTCTGGAGCCTTCTTTTGTTCTCCGTTTCAGTTTGGATCTCTGTTCCCCATAGCATGTTGCATTCTGTTGGCCTGGGAGGTTGACTTAAAAAGGTGTACTTACGGAATAGTACAGCTTTGAAGGAGGCCATTTGGCCCATTGAGACTGCATTAGTATTTTTGAAGAGTAGCCCTGACAAGTTAATAGCTAATGCATGTAAAAATGGTACAGCAATTATCATGGGGGATTTTAATCTATATATCGATTGGTCAAACCAGGTCAGTCATGGCAGCCTTGAGGAGGGGTTCACAGAATGCATCTGCGATAATTTCCTTGAACAATATGTAATGGAACCCACGAGGGAGCAGGCTATCCGAGATCTAGTCCTGTGTAATGAGACAGGAATAATAAATGATCTCACAGTTAGGGATCCTCTCGGAAGGAGTGATCACAGAATGGTCCAATTTAAAATACAGATGGAGCGTGAGAAGGTTAAATCCAGTACCAATGTCCTGTGTTTAAACAAAGGAGACTATGATGGGATGACGGAGGAGTTAGGTAAGATAAAATGGGAGCAAAAACTTTATGGTGTGTCAGTTGAGGAACAGTGGAGGACTTTCAAAACAATTCTTCACAGTGCTCAGCAGTGCTCAGCAGAAGTATATTCCAGTGATAAGGACGAACTGTAGGAAAAGATAGTCAGCCATGGATGTCTAAGGAAATAAAGAAAAGTATCAGATTTTAAAAAAAGCATTACATAAAAAGCAAAGATTAGTGGGAAACTAGTAGACTGGGAAATCTTTAAAGACCAACAGAAAGCCACAAAAAAGTTATAAAGAAAAGTAAGATAGATTATGAGAGTAAGCTAGCTCAAAATATAAAAACAGGCAGCAAAAGTTTCTATAAATATGTAAATTCTAAAAGTGTGGCAAAGGTAAACATTGGTCCTTAAGGGGATGAGAAGGTCAATTTAATAACTGGGAATGAGGAAATAGCCGAAGCATTAAACAGTTATTTTGTGTCGGTCTTCACAGTGGAAGACGCAAATAACATGCCGAAAACTGATGGCAAGAAGGTTATAGTAGGTGAGGACCTAGAAACTATCATTATCACTAAGGAGGCAGTGCTGGGCAAGCTCATGGGGCTAAAGGTAGACATGTCTCCTGGCCCTGATGAAATGCATCCCAGGGTACTAAAAAAGGTGATGGGGGAAATAGCAAATGCACTAGTAATTATGTACCAAAATTCACTGGACTCTGGGGTGATTCCCGCAGATTGGAAAACAGCCAATGTGACGCCACTGTTTAAAAAAGGAAGTAGACAAAAAGCAGGTAACTATAGGGCAGTTAGCTTAACTTCAGTAATGGGGAAAATGCTTGAATCTATCATTAAGGAAAAAATAGCAAGACATCTGGATATAAATTCTCCCATTGGGAACACCCAGCATGGGTTCATGAAGGGTAGGTCATGTTTAACTAATTTGGTGGAATTCTTTGAGGACATTACTTGCATGGTGGACAATGGGGAACCTGTGGATGTAGTGTATCTGGATTTCCAGAAGGCATTTGATAAAGTGCCACACCAAAGGCTGCTACATAAGATGAAGTTGCACGGTATTACAGGTGATGTATTGGCATGGATAGAGTATTGGTTGACTAGTAGAAAGCAAAGAGTAGGGGTAAATGGGTGTTTTTCTGTTTGGCGGTCAATGGCTAGTGGTGTGCCTCAGGGATCAGTGTTGGGACAGCAATTGTTTATAATTTACATAGATGATTTGGAGATGATTTCTAAGTGTGGTGTGTCAAAATTTGCAGATGACACTAAGATGAGTGTTAGAGCAAAGTATGCAGAAGACACCGAAAGTCTACGGACGGATATAGATAGTCTAAGTGAGTGGGCAAAGGTCTGGCAGATGGAGTACAGTGTTGATAAGTGTGAGGTCATCCACTTTGGTAGGAATAACAATAAAATGGACTATGTTTTAAATGGTAAAAAATTGCAGCATGCTGCTGTGCAGAGGGACTTGGGTGTCCTTGTGCATGAATCGCTGAAGGTGGGATTGCAGGTGCAGCAAGTAATTAAAAAGGCAAATGGAATTTTGTCTGTCATTGCTAGAGGGATGGAGTTTAAAAACAGGGAGGCTATGCTGCAGCTGTATAGGGTCCTGGTGAGGCCACACCTGGAGTACTATGTGCAGTTTTGGTCCCCTTACTTGAGAAGGGATATACTAGCACTGGAGGGGGTGCAGAAGAGATTCACTCGTTTGATTCCAGAATTGAGAGGGTTGGATTATGAGGAGAGACTGAGTAGGCTGGGATTATACTCATTGGAATTCAGAAGAGTGAGGGGAGATCTTGTAGAAACATATAAGATTATGAAGGGAATAGATTAGGTGGAGGCAGGGAGGTTGTTTCCACTAGCAGGTGAAACTCGGACTAGGGGGCAAAATAAAGGGAAGCAGATGTAGGACTGAAGTGAGGAGGAACTTCTTCACCCAAAGGGTTGTGAATCTGTGGAATTCCCTGCCCAGTGAAGCAGTTGAAGCTACCTTGCTGAATGTGTTTCAGGCAAGGCTAGATAAATTTTTGAACAGTAAAGGAATTAAGGGTTATGGTGAGCGGGCAGGTAAGTGGAGCTGAGTCTCAAAAAGATCAGCCATGATCTTATTGAATGGCGGGGCAGGCTCGAGGGGCCGGATGGCCTACTCCTGCTCCTAGTTCTTATGTTCTTACGTAAGTTGCACTCATCATTTTTTCTGAATGCTTCTACAATATTTTCCACACCAGTATTTATTGAAAATGTTACAGAGTCTGTTTCCGTCATCCCATTCTCATCAAGCTAATAAAGACACAAATATTGTCCATCTCCATTTCTCCTGAGAATGTGGCACCTTCCAAGACAACTTCCATTGGCATTGAGAGCCTGTGTGATTTGTGTTAACCATTGGGAAAGCTGGAGCCAATTACATGGGAAAGACTCGAACATTGACATGGTTGAACCTTACTTAAGTCTTTAATTGAACCTAAATGTGTTGTTTGGAGTCACAGTTATGAAGATTGCAATCCACCCTGACACAATATTTGCACTGCCTTTTTGTTTAAAAGTGATTGTGATCATTTCTTATGGTGATATGCTTTATAGCTGTGGACCCACTGGCTACATGTGTGTGATTGTTTGGTTTTGGTAACCAGGGAATACAATTTGTCTAACAGGATTCGGTTCAGAACACCTCCATGATTTTCAACGGGAATTGAACACAACTGTGATTAAGGACATGAGATCAAACAAGGACAACATTTCGCAAGCAGTTTTGGCAGTTGATATCTGTATGAAAGAGAGTAAGTATAGAATTCAATAACAAAATCAAAAAAGTTCTGAAGAAGAGTCACCGGACCTGAAACATTAACTTTGATTTTTTCTTCACAGATGTTGCCAGACCTGCTGAGCTTTTCTAGCAACTTCTGTTTTTGTTCCTGATTTACAGCATCCAGAGTTCTTTTGGTTTTTTTAAATAGAATTCAGTAATGTGGCTGTCTGCAGTTCTCTCCCATATAATGACAGGGGAACCAGAGCAAAGGCCGAAGTTTACATTGAGAAATGTCATGATAGTTGAAAGTAGTAGACGAGATTATGAGGCAAATTAAAAGGTCTTCAAGAACTTGTAAGAGCCTGTAAGTTGTTGCATGAATAGGCAGTTAAGGTACTTTAGTTTCTGGAGAAGAGAATTCTAACAGGAGATGTGAACATATGAATTAGGAGCAGTCATAGCCCACTCAGACCCTCAAGTCTGCTGTTTGGTGATATCATGGCTGATCTGATTATTCCATATTCTTGCCTACCCCTGATAATCTTTCATCTCACTGTTGATCAAGAATATATTCATGTATGCTTTAAAAATTTTCAAAAGTCTGTGCATCCACCTTCTTTTCAGGAAGAGTGTTCCAATGACTAAAGGACTGTCTGAGAAAAAGATTCTCCTTGTCGTTAATGGCTGACTCCTTAGTTTAGAACAGTAACCCCCTTGTTCCAGTTTATCCCATGTGAGGAAACATCCATTCCATACGCATCCTGTCAAGACCACTCATGACCTTGTCTGTTTCAATCAAGTTGCTTTACACTCTTCTGAACTCTAGCAAATACAAGCCTAGCCTGTCCAACCTTCCCTCATGAGATAACCTGTTCATTCCAAGTTTTAGTTTTATAAACCTTCCCTGCACTACTTTCAGTGCCATGTCTTTACTAAGTAAGGAGGTCAATATTGTACACCACTGCAGATATGATCTCATCCATGCCCCGTATAACTGAAGCATAACCTTCTACTTTTGTATTCAATTTTGCTTGCAATAAGCAGTAACGCTATTCACTTTCTTAACCTGTTGTACTTGCATACTAGCCTTTTGTGAAATGCACACTGGGACACTCAGATCCATCTGCAATCTCTCACCATTTAGATAATATGCTTCTTTCTTATTCTTCCTGCCAAATAGACTTCAGATTTTCCAACATTGTGGCATTTGCCAAATCTTCACCCAAACATTTAATATATTTGCGGCCTCCTTATGCCCTCTTCACAACTTACTTTCCCACCTGTCTTTGTGCTGACAGGAAATTTAGCAACTGTGCTTTCTGTCCTTTCTTCTAAGTCATTTATATAAGTTCTAATAATTGAGGCCCCAAAACTGATCCCTCTTACGCACTACTCATAGCATCTTGGCAACCAGAAAATAACCAATGTATGCCAACTCAATTTCCATTTAGCTAAACAAGATTCTGCCCAGGCCAATACATTACCCCCTATACCATGAGCTTTTCTTTTCTGCAAAGACCTTTGATGTGACACCTCGTTAGATGCTTTCTGGAAATTGAGGTACAGTGCATCCACTGGTTCCCCTTCGTCTACAGTATATGTTACTCCCTCAGAGAACTCCAATAAATTAGTTAAACATGATTTCAGTTTCACAAAGCCATGTTGAGTCTGGCTGATTACCGTACATTTTTCTAAGTGCCGTACTGTAATGTCTTCCTAATACCTTCTGGTGTTTTCCCAATGATAGAAGTAGTTTCCTGTTTTGTTGTCTTCCCTTTTTGAATAAGAGTCATATTTGTTACTTTTAAATCGAATGGAACCTTTCTAAATCTAGGGAATTTTGGAAAATTAAAATATACACATCAACTATCTCATTAGTCACTTTTAATACCCAAGACTGAAGTAACATGACCAGGGACTTGTCAGTCTGCGCTTCAGTATCATCTCCCTGGTGATTTTTAATATTGTAGCTCTTCCCTCCCTTCCATTTCCAGCTTTATAGTTTTTTTTTCTGGGATGTTATTTCATTCCAATGCAAATACCTGTTCAATTCATCTACCATTTCCTTATTTCCCCAGACTAATTTAATAGTGCTGACACTCACTTTTAACTATTTTCTATTTTAAATATTTGTAAAAACTTGTTTTTATATTTCTTTTTGATTTTCTCAGACTTTAATTTTTCCCCATTCTTAACTGTTCGTTATATTCTGTCCAGTTTTCGGACTCGCCATTTGTCTTTGCATAATTATGAGTTCGATACATTTCATTTTTTTAGCTAACAATGGATGGTGGGCCGTCCCTTGGAATTTCTCTTTCTCCTTGAAGTGTATCCTGTGCATTCTGAAATATCACCTTAATTGCCTACCATTGTATCTGAGTTGTTCTATCCCTTAACCTAATTTGCTGATTTACTTTTGTTAGCTCTGCTTTCATGTCCTCATAATTACCCTTATTTAAATTTAAAATAGTCGTCTTGGACTCTGTCTTCTCTTCCTCAAACTCAATGTAAAATTCAATTACACTATGATTATCACTACCTTAGGACACATTCACTGAGGTTGTTAATTAATCCTATCTTGTTGTAAAAGTACCAGATCTAGTATAACTTGCCCTCTAGTTGGCTGAAGAAAGTACTGTTCCATGAAACTATCCCAAAAATATTCTGTGAGCACCTCATCTCAGCTACTTTTGCTCATCTGATTTTTTTCAGCCTAAATGGACATTAAAATCCCCACGATTATCATTTTTTCTTGCTATCAAGATCCGAATTGCTTTCTTGATTGCCCATCCTACTATCTGGTTACAGTTGGAGAGTCTATACGCCACTCCGACAAATGATTTCCCTTAATCATTTGTCACTACTATTCAAACTGCTTCTGCTTCCTGGTTCCCTGAAATTGGGTCAACCCTCTCTATTGTTTGATATATGTTGGGGCTACAATAACAGTGTCACAATTGAATTGAACACTCCTGGGATAGGACAAGGGCAAGTTTTTGACTCCCAATCATGAGGCTACGAGAAAGAGTGCCCTTTTGAGTGTCAAGAGAACAGACCACTCTCCTCTTCTATGCTATGTCATGCTGTCCAGATTTGCATGGAAGGAAGTTCACTTTGACAAAACACCTGCCATTTCCAAAGCAAGACTAACTATATGAAGGAGAGGCAATGAGAAAAATCATTGTTTCAAATTCCTAAGGTTATGCTTTCAGCAAGTGAATGATGTGTAACTACAGATATGTACGGTTATGGAGGAAATACGAAGACACCATTTCTGAAGATTACGATGGCACTACCTCGTTTAATCGCTCCTGCTAAGCGCCTGCTGGAGCAAGGATTCCGCTTTGGATCAACTCCGATGTGTAATTATCAGTCATATGAGGCCAACATAGACTTTGAAATCAGGTATTTACTGTTCCTTTGTGTTGAAACAACAGTATAATGAAAGGCTTGCATTTATGTAGCTTTTTTCACAACCATGAGGCATCCTAAAGTGAACATACCAGTGAAACACTTCTGAAATATAGTCTTTGTTGTAATTTATGAAACATGGCAGGCAATTTGCATATAACAACCTCTCCCAAACAGCTGTAAAAAGGAATAAATTGTTTTTGGTGGTATTATTAGTTGAAAAATAAATGTTGACCAAGACACTAGGAAAATCTTCACTTCTCTTTTGAGTAGTGTAATTGAATCTTTTATGTCTACCTGAGAGGCCACATGGGCTTTGCTTAATTGGCCCAACTGAAAGACACTACCTCGGACAGGATAGTACTCTTCAATACAACAATATGAGCATCAGCCTAGATTATATGCTCATTTGTCTGGAGTGGACTTGGAACCTGCAGTCACCTTGTTCAGGTGACAATGTTACCAATTGAACAATGGCTAAGAAATGAATAGTCACCAGTTCATTTATCACCTAAAATTGTTCATTTATCAGTTTTTCAGAGGTATTGCTAAGAGGTATACTCCGTCATACTCCATTTCTTTTGAAAGAAATATTGATGTCATTTGGTTTTACCACCATTGGTGGGCAAATGACATAGGACAAACATATCTGCTACAATTGATTGAGGCTGTATTTAGTGTTCTACAGGCATGATGGTGCTTTTGGTAGAACTGGGCAAGTTCTGAACCCAGTATGTGCTGATTTGCAGAAGATTAAAAATATTGAATATAATTTTTGATTACCTCTTGCATTTTTCTTCTATCCCTGCGATATTTTTGTAGATTCATGGTGGACAGTGATGTTGTTGGCTGCAACTGGATAGAACTACCAGCTGGAAAGTACTTGTTAAGAGAAGAACAAACAACCGGAAACTCGACAGCTACAAGGGACAATCCTAGAAAGGTGTGTTTGGCCAAAGGGTAGTTAGATTGAATTCTTAGAGGAGTGTGGAATGAAAATAATCTTTTTCAAAAACTTGTATTTTTCCTACAAGGTGCAGTAATTCCTGGAAGGTTAGAGCTTGATTGTCACCACCCAAACTCTCTTCTAAAATATTACTTTGCCAAGCGTTTTGGAGCAATGAATAATGTATATCTTCTAACGTAAATATTTTAGAAATGCAGCATATTTTGAATGTGACTTAATAAGCATCTGCCTACCATTTGGCATCAGGCTAAACTGACCAAATATTGCTGCATAGTAATATTCGGAAGAACTTGCATTTATAAAACAGCTTTGGCCATCCCAAAGTACTTAAATCATAGCGATAAACAGCACGGAAACAGACTCCTTGGTCCAGCTCATCTATGCTGACCAAATATCCTGACTATATCTAGTCCCATTTGGCAGTATTTGGCCCATATCCCTCTAAACCCATACTATTTATATACCGATCATCATGCCACCACCGCTTTCTCTGGCCACTCAGGCCATACACGCACCACACTCTGTATGAAAAAGTTGCCCCTTAGGTCCCTTTTCAGTCTTACCTCTCTCACCTCAAACCTGTCCCCATGCCAGGGAGAAGATCTTGTCTGATTACCCTATCCATGTCTCTCATGATTTTATAAACTTCTATAAGGTCACCCCTCAGCCTCTGACGCTCCAGAGAAAATAGCTCCGGTCTATTCAGCCTCTCCCTATAGCTGAAACCCTCCAATCCTGGCAACATCCTTGTAAATCTTTTCTGAACCTTTTCAAGCTTCATAACATCCTTCCTATAGCAGGGAGACCAGAACTGCATACAGCATTCCGATAAATATGTAAATTACGTATAAGCATCCTGGCTGCTGTAGGTTGGGAATGTGGCAGCTGGTTTGACTGCAACAAGATTCCACAAAAAGCAATGAAGTGCTTGATCAGATGTTCTGTTTTGGTGAAAGGATAAATTTATATTGACTGATTTTCTGATTTTCAAATTGTACCTTGCGGCATTTTATATCCAACTGAAATAGCAGACTAGCTATTAGTTTTTAGTACCTTATCTGAAAGTTGGCACTTCAGACAGTGCACCACCACTCAGCTCTATATTGGAGCTTCATATTTAGTGTTCAAACCTGTGTGATGAACCTTGCAGCTACAACCTCCTGACCTGAAAGGTGAGGATGTTGCTGTCGGATCCAAGGCTGCAGTTAGATCTGATATTTTGGATACTAATAATATGGATGTGGACAGGGGCTTCGTGAAATAATCTTTCGTCGTAATTCCCAAAGTCATAGATGTGGTATGATTGGCCTCAGATGTGAGGACTTCTGCAGCGAATAATTCACCACCTGTCCTCCATCTACAAAGCATTTGGCAACAGTGTGTACCAGCTACATGATGCACAGCAGCAACTCTCCAAGGCTTGTTTGACAGTATCTTCCAAACCGGTGCTCTCTCTTACCTGGAAGAACAAGGGCATCAGATCCATGGAAACACCACCACCCACAAATTCCTATCCAAGTCGCACACCATCCTGACTTGGAGCTATATCATTGCTCTTTCACCGTTACTGGATCAAAATCCTAAGTCTCCCTTACTAACGGCATTGTGGCTGTTCATATATCCAATGAACTGTAGCGGTTCAAGAAGACAGCTCAGTATCACCTTCCTAAATGCAGTGAGGTACGGCTTTGAACATTGGTCTAGCCAGTGAAATTGACGTTCCTTTGAACATATAATTTTTAAAAAATAGACCATATATCCCTTGAATCTGTTCTGCCACTCGAGGACCTAGCTCCACATACCCACTTGTGCCCCATATCAGTTGATTAACAAAGATATATCCAGCTCCGATTTGAAATTAATAATTGGCTTTGCATTAGTTGCAGTTTGGAGAAGAAAGCTCAAAACTTCTACTGCCCTTTGTTTATAGAACTGTTCCATAGTTGGAAGGTCTGTATCATTTTTATGCCACCTCTCAAATCCAGCTTCTCTCTAATGTGCATAAACCTCAAGGCTTTAATGCTAATGGATCTGATTTAGAGTTGGTTCATTTCATTGGTGCAAACAGTCTTTTGCAGACTCTCATAATTGAAAGAAGATAAACCAAGCTGTAATACATTGCTCCAGTCCCATGTTTGCTCTCCCTTTCTTGTGTGTGGTCTCTTGCTCATGTTCTGTTTGTTGGTTGTGTGATGATGGTTCAGTTACAGTCCTTTAAAATAGGTTTTGCATATTTATGACAGCAGTTCAAACCTACTGTTGCTTGATGACGCTCTTCCGTAACATTTTGTTTCATGCACGTATTAAAATCCAAGCCTCATCTTGTGACCAGGACTGAAACCTTTGTTATGAAACCATGTTACAATGGTCACTTATTTTAAGAATAACTCTGTTCTTATATGATATCATGCAAAAGATTGAGAGAGGTGTAATTCTATTTTAATTCCCTAGGTATGTTGTTTGCTGGAAATGCTAGGATACCTGCCCATATCATTCTCTCTCAGCAAAAGGAGAAAGTACCAAGGACAATCAGCAAGCCAATTCCAAAATACAGACCCTCCATAGAATGTTGCACAACATCAGTATCTGCAGAATTTTCTGTTTATTACTTGATTTCCAGTGCCTGCAGTATTTTGCACTTTGTTTTATTTTGTCTTATAACTTGCAAAACTTTTAAATCTTTCTTATTTAGCAAAACAAGGCATGGCTGACAGAGTTCTGCATTGTTTGCTGTTTTCCCACTTTTCCCCTTCCAGAAGTGTTCATTCTCACTTGTGCCAGTTTTCCTCTGGAGCTTCACCTTGGTGAATGATTGACCATATTCATGGGTAATGAACAATCATAGAGCTGTACAGCATGGAAACAGACCCTTTGGTCCAACTTGTCTGTATTGACCAGATATCTCCATCTGACCTAGTTCCATTTGCCCGCATTTGGCCCATATCCCTCTAAAACCTTCCTATTCATGTACCCATCCAGATGCCTTTTAAATATTGTAATTGTACCAACCTCCACTACTTCCTCTGACAGGCCATTCTGTACACACACCATCTTCTGCATGAAAAAGTTGTCCCTCAGATCCTTTTTGAATCTTTCCCTTCTCACCTTAAACCTTTGCCCTTTAGTTTCCTCCACCCTAGGAAAAAGACCTTGGCTATTCACTCTATCCACGCCCGTAATGATTTTATAAACCTCTATTAGGTCACTCCTTAACCTCGGTCAACAGGCTTTGTTATGGGTTAAGATTGATAATGTTGCCAAGACAGAATTTTCAATATTGAAATGTTAAAAGGGGGCAACAATTACAGGTTACATTGTACTGTGTCACCTTAGAAGATTAGTAGTGGAGAAGGAGACCCTTCAGCCAGTCCCATCACAAAAAAGTAACCTGACCTTCATTGCAAGCATTGTATAAAGAGCTGTTTGAACAAGCTATTATTCAAATGACTAGATGAACTGGAGCCGAAGGGTTGTGTGTTTAGATGGAGCTTTGGTGACAACAAGAAGTTGATTGGTCAATGGACTAGTGATCAGATGATAAAAGTCATTTGCCTGCCAACAGACATGTAATTGTTTGTCCGGTAACTGAATAACTTGGTGCTGGAAACAAGGTAGGGAGAAGTGTTTGATCTCCACTAATACAGGAGCAGTCTCTATGTTCTCTGCAGTCAAAACCCATTTTAAACATGGAGAACCAGTTCAGCTTTCTATGAGCTGTCGCTGTAAGCTGTGACTTTTCATTGGTAACTCAGAAACCATTTATAAGTGAATCAGCCACCCTGTGCCTCTTGCAAATTTTAGCTGGAGCACAGGAGGTGACCTTACAGAGGTTTATGAAATCATGAGGATCAAAGATATCATTGATGGCAAACTGTTTTGACTATATAGAATGTAAAAACAGAATCCCATTCTGTTCGCTCCTGTTGTTCATGCATGTTCATTTCCCATATCAGTAATAATCCAGGCTCCCAACTCCACCCTTGACCTCTCTTGTTGATGTCACTTTTTCGAGAGGAAATGCTGGAGGTCTTGGGAAACATAAAGGTGGACAAATCTCCAGGATCTGAAAAAAATGTATCTTATACTGTTGTGGGAAGTTAGGAAAGAAATTGCAGTATCCCTGGCAGAAATATTTGTATCAACTATAACCACGGGTGTGATACCGGACGATTGGAGAGTGGCTAATGTTGTGCCTTTATTTGAGGAAGGCTGTAAGGAGAAGCCTGGGAACTATAGACCTGTGAGTCTAATGTCGGTGGTGGTTAAGTTGTTGCACATGATTCTGAAAAACAGGATTTGTATGCATTTTGAGAGGCAAGGACTGGTGAAGGATAGTCAGCATGGTTTTGTGTGTGGGAAATCATTTCTCATAAACTCAACTGAGTTTTTTTTTGAGGAAGTAACCAAAAAGATTGTTGACAGCAGAACGGTAGACATTATTTATGTGGACTTTAGTAAAGCCTTTGACAAGGTTCTGCATGGTAGACTAATTAGTAAAATTAGATCACATGGAATTCAGGGTGAGTTTGCCAATTGGGTACAAAATTGGCTTTGCGGTAGGAGGCAGAGGGTGGTTGTGGAGAGTTGATTTTTGGAATGGAGGCTTGCGACCAGCAGTGTTCCATAGGGATTGGTACTGGGTCCACTTTTGTTTGTCATTTATATGAACGACTTGAACGAGAATATAGGAGGCGTGGTTAGTAAGTTTGCGGATGACACCAAAATTGGTGATATAGTAGACAGTGAAGAAGGTTATCTAAGACTACAAGGAGATCTTGATCAATTGGGTCAATGGGCTATGGAGTGGCAGGTGGAGCATATTTGGGTAAATGTGAGGTATTGCATTTTTGTTAAACAAACAAGGGCAGGACTTGTACAATTAATGTAGGGCCCTGGGTATTGTTGTCGATCAGAGAGATCTAAGGGTTCAGGTACATAATTCTTTGAAATTTGCATCACAGTAGATGGGGTAGTTA